GTCCCATTTGTTTATTTTCTCCTTAGTTTCTCTTGCCCTAGGAGATGTATCAGCAAACATATTGCTGTGAGAGATGTCTGAGATTTTACTGCTTATGCTTTCCTCTAGGATTTTTATGGTTTCATGACTTACATTTAAGTCTTTTATCCATTTTGAATTTACTTTTGTGTATGATGTAAGTTGGTGATCCAGTTTCATTTTTTTGCATGTATNTTTTATCCATTTTGAATTTACTTTTGTGTATCGTGTAAGTTGGTTGTCCATTTTCATTTTTTTGCATGTATCTGTCCAATTTTTCCAACACCATTTATTGAAAAGACTGTCTTTATTCCATTGTATGTCCTTGCCTCCTTTATCAAATATTAATTGATCATAATGGCATGGGTCAATTTCTGGGTTCTCTGTTGTGTTCCACTGATCAATATGTCTGTTCTTGTGCCAGTACCAGGCAGTTTTGANCCTTGCCTCCTTTATCAAATATTAATTGATCATAATGGCATGGGTCAATTTCTGGGTTCTCTGTTGTGTTCCACTGATCAATATGTCTGTTCTTGTGCCAGTACCAGGCAGTTTTGATGACAGTGGCTTTGTAGTATAACTTGATATCTGGTATTGTGATCCCTCTAACTTTGTTCTTCTTTCTCAAATTGCCATGGCTATTTGAGGTGTTTTTTGTTCCAGATAAATTTTTGAAATGTTTTTTCTACATCTGTGAGATATGCTCTTGGTATTTTAATAAGAATTGCATTGAATATATAGATTGCTTTGTGTAATATGGATATTTTAATCATGTTCTTCTAATCCATGAACATGGTATATTTTTCCCGTTTGTTTATATCTTCCTCTTTTTCTTTTTTCAGTGTCTTGTAGTTTTCTGAGTAAAGGTCTTTTACATCTTTGGTTAAGTTTATTCCTAGGTATCTTATTTTTTTAGTTGCAATGGTAAATGGGATTTTTTTTTTAGTTTCTGTTTCTGAGAGTTTATTATTGGTGTATAAAAATGCCATCGATTTCTGGGTGTTAATTTTATATCCTGCTACCTTGATGAATTCATTTATTAAATCTAGTGGTTTTCTGGTGGAGTCTTTAGATTTCTCTATGTAAAATATGTCATCTGCGAATAATGATAGTTTTGTTTCTTCTTTTCCAATTTGGATGTCTTTTATGCCACCTTTCTTTTTCTTCTGTTTTCATATGTTGTACCATTTGTAATTTCCCCACAGTCCTTGGGTATTCTGTTGCATTCTTTTCATTATTTTTTATCTTGGAGTTTAAGTTTGCAAAGTTCATATTACCCTCTCTTAATGCTCATTGATTCTTAGTTCACGTCTATTAACAGACGATCATATCAAAAGTATTCATCATTTTGGTATAGCTTTTAATTATTTTTAGCATTTCATTTTGTATACTTCTTACAGTTTCCATTTTTTTATATACATTATTCACCTTTTGTTGTATGTTGTCTACTTTTTCTATTATGTTCCTTAGCATATTAACAAGTTATTTTTAATTCTCAGTTTGATAATTCCAAAATCTGTTTTAAAGCTGAGTCTGGTTCTGATGATTGCTCTGTGTTTTTAAACCGTGGTGCTTTTTTTGTCTTTTAGTGTGCCTTCTAACTTTTTGTTGCAATCTGGACAAGATGTACTGAATAGCCTGGCTGGCATGGCTCAGTGGTTGAGCATCCACCCATGGACCAGGAAGTCACAATTCAATTCCCATTCAAGATACAAGCCCAGTTTTCAAGCTTGGTCCCCAATAGGGGGCATGAAGGAGGCAGCGAATCAATGACTCTCATCTTTGATGTTTCTGTCTCTCTCTCCCTCTCCCTTCCTCTCTCTGAAATCAATAAAAACATATTAAAAATGTACTGAATAAAAAAGTTTAAGTAATAGACCTTTTAGTATGATGCTTTATATTTATTTGGCTAGGTGTTAGACTGTGTTTAATGTTTAATATTGCTATATGTGTAAAAAACTAAAACTGTCTGTTTTCTTATTTTTGTCTTCCCTGTTAGCCTTGGGTTTCCCTAGAGACAACTTCTAAAACATTGTCTAAACGTGGAGCTTTTTACGGGTGACTAGAGTTGAGTATAGTTTCTGGTAAAACCACAGTTAGGCTCTGGTAATATAGTTTCCCTGAGAACATTTTTATTGGAAAAACAATGATTTGGGCATATTTCAAAATGGCTACTTTTCTCTTCCTCCTGCCTAAAACACTAAGGGATTTTTCTCTGATCTTCACTATGAAAACCTGGTAGATCTCTTGGAGGTAAAACTCCTAAAAGTATGGAGGCCGCCCAAGACTGACCCTCACTGGAGTTTTTAACTCTCAATCTTGTCTACACTACCTCTTTGACAATTTTTCATTTATAGTTTAAGTTTTGTACCTTGATATTGGCTCCAATAGTAAACTTCTTTTCCTAAGCTTCTGTTCTCATAAGCTATGATTCTGGGTATTCACTTGTCTTTACAAAATTTTTTAAATGTTTTTTACTGATTTCAAAAAGAGGAAGGGAGAGGGAGAGAGAAATAGAAACATCAATGATAAGACATAGTCATTGATTGGCTACCGCCTGCACGCCCCCTGCTGAGGATCGGCTCACAAGCCGGGCATGTGCCCTCACTGGGAATCCAACTGCAATCTCCTGGATCAGTGCTCAACCACTGAGCCATACCGACCGGGCTGTCTTTACAATTTTGAGGACAAAATGACCTCAATACTCTGATGGATCTAAAATGAAATCTTGATTTTCCTTGAGGTTCTTTTTTTCCTTGTGAGGATGGGAAAAATGACTTCTTGAAAATAACTCAATGTGTTTTCTTTTTTTTTTTTTTTTTTAATATATCTTTATTGACTTCATAGAGAGGAAAGGAGGGGGATAGAGAGATAGAAACATCCATGATGAGAAAGTCATGGATCGGCTGCCTCCTGCATGCCCCTGACTGGGGATAGAGCCCACCACCCGGGCATGTGCCCTGACCGGGAATCGAACCCCGATCGCCTGGATCCTGGGTCGAGGCTCAACTGCTGAGCCACGCCCGGCCAGGCTTAATGTGTTTTCAATTTGTACATCCTTGATGGATATTGATGCTAAACATGTTTTTGTGTGTTTATTGGCCATTTGTATATAATTCATTGGAGAAATGTCTATTCAGATCTTTTGACCATTTTTTTTTAATTTGAGCTATCTTTCAGTTATTGACTTGTAGAGTTGTAATTTTCAAAGTTTATGTTTTTCACATCTTTTGTTAAATTTTTCCTGAAAATTGTATTCCTTTTGGTATTATTATAAATGAATTGTTGTCTCCATTTCCTTGTGTTGTTCTTTTTAAGTGTTCATAGAAGTAAAATTATTTTTTGTATTAGTTTTATACTCTACAGTCTTGTCAATCTACTTTATTAATTTAATAGTTTAAAAAATGTAGTTCTTTAGACTTTTCAATGTAAGAGAGTATGCCATTCACAAGTAGGGATAGTTTTATAATCTTCTTTACCAGTCTTGTTGTTTGAACTTCTGGTACATTTCTGAACAGAGGTGGCAATAATAAATATCTTTTTCCTTTTTCTGATCTCAGGGGGAAAGCAGTCAGTTTTTCTCCATTAATTATGATGTTCTGTGAGCTTTTGTATATGCTCCCTTTTTTTAGGTTGAATAAATTCCTTCTATTCCTAGTTGTGGAGTATTTTTTACTAAGGAGGCTATTTTATTTTATCACATATCATTTGCTTCTATTCTTATGATAATGTTGTTTTGGTCCTTTATTCTATTTATATGCTGTATTACACCAATTGATTTTCTTTGTTAAGTAATTCTTGCATTCCTGAGCTAAATTTTAATTTGTCATGGTATATAACACTTTTTATATATTGCTGAATTTGGTTTGTTAGTATCTTATTGATGATTTTTGTATTTTGAATCATAAGATATATTGTTTTGTAGTTTTCTTGTGATAGCTTTGTTTGATTTTAGTATAGAATAATACCAGCCTAATAGAATGAGCAGGGATATATTTCCTCCTCTCCTATTTTTGGAAAAAGTTTGTGAAAGTTTGGTGTTAATTCTTCTTTAAAGGGCTTGATAGAATTCTCCAGGGAAGCTATCTGTTTCTGAACTTTTTTTTTTCCTGTGGAAAATCTTTTTTTCATCTATTTTCTTGTTATAGATCTATTCATATTTTCTATTTCTTCTTGAGTCAATTTTGGTAGTTTATATCTTGGAATTTCTTCATTCCATCTAAGCTTATAAACCTTTATATTTCTGTAGGGTTTTTAGTAATGTCTTCTCTTTTTTTCTGATTTAAGTAAATTGAATCTTCTCTCTCTCTTTGTCAGTCTATTCAAAAATTTGTCAATTTTTTATCTTTAAAAGAATCAATTTTTGATTTATTTGATTTTACGTATTGTTTTCTTATTCTTACTATAAGTTTTATGATTTTCTTTCTTCCATTTGCCTTGGGTTTAGTTTGCTTTTTTTCTTATTATTTTTTGGTTTCATAAGGTGAAAGGTTAGGTTATTGTTTTGAGATCTTTTTTATGTCAAATACACATAACAATATTTACCATTTCAACCATTTTAAAGTGTACAACTCAGAAACATTAAGTATAGACACGGTATTGTACACTCATTATGTTGTTCCGGAATTTTTCCTCATCCAAAAGTTTAAAGCATACCTATTAAAATGTCACTAGTCATATGCCAACTCCCAGTCCCTAGCTACCACTAATCTGTTTTATGTCCTTATAGATTGACCTGTTCTGGATATTTCATATAAATAAAATCATACAATATGTGGCCTTTTGCTCCTGGCTTCTTTCACTAACAATGTTTACAAGGTTCATCCATGGTATAACATGTTATCAGTATTCATTATTTTCTATGCCTAAATAATGTTCTGTTGTATAGATGTACCACATTTTGTTTATCTATTTATCAGTTGATGGACATTTGGGTTATTCTTACCTTTGACTACTGTAAATAGTGTTACTATAAACATTAGTGTACAAGTTTTGCTTTAATGCCTGTTTTCAGTTAAGGTGTATACCTAGCAGTAGAACTGTGTCATATGGTAATTCTATGTTTAATTTTACCGGAAACCACCAAACTGTTTTTCATAGTGATTATACCATTTTACTCATCTATCAGTAATGTATATGGGTTCAAATTTCTCTTTATCTTTGCTCACAGTTATTTATTGTTCTTTAAAATATATATATATATAGTCCATATTCATGAGTGTGAAGTGGTATCTCTCTGTGGTTTTGATTTACATTTCACTAATGACATTGAGCATCTTTTCATGTGCTTATTGGCTGTTTGTGTATCTTCTTTGGAGAAATGTCTGTACAACTCTTTTGCCCATTATTTAATTGTTTGTCAGTTGTGAGTTCTTTACATATTATGGGTTCTAGACTCATATCACATATATGATTTGTAAATATTTTCTCCTGTTCTGTGGGTTGTCTTTTAACTCTCTTGATAGTGTTAACTGATGAACAAAAACATTAATTAATTAATTTATTTATTTTGTTAATCCTCACCAGTTGATATTTTTTCCATTGTCTTTCAGAGAGAGAGTGTGTGGAAAGGAAGAAGGTAAGGGGAAAGAGAGAGAGAGAAAAATATCGATCTGAGAGAGACACATTGATTGGTTGCCCCAACTGGGGTCAGGGATCAAACCCGTAACCCAGGTACATGCCCTTGACTGGGAATCTAACCTAAGACCCTATGGTGCACAAGCCAATTCTCCAACCACTGAGCAACATTGGCCAGGGCAACAGAAACTTTAAACATAAGAAATTCCAACTTATCTTCCCCCCCCCCCCTTTTTTTTGCTTGTGCTTTCAGTGTTATATATATGAAGCCATTGCCATTTCTAAGGTCAAGATTTACCCTTATAAAATTTCTTTTAAAAGTTTTATAGTTAGCTCATGTTGTCCCAGAATCATTTGTTGTAGAGAGTATTCTTCCACCATGTAATAGTCTTGTCACCCTTATTGAAAACTAGTTGATCAGAGATGTATGAGTTATTTCTGGATTCTCAATTCTATTTCATTCATCAAGATATCTACCCTTATGGCTGTATCACACTGTCAGGCTCACTTCAATACTGTAGTAAGTTTCAAAATTGGAAAACTTGAGTCCTTCAACTTTGTTGTTATTTTTCAACACTGTTTTGCCTATTCAGAGCCCTTTGAAATTCCACATGAATTTTAGGATTGTATTTTCAATTTCTGCAAAAAGGCTGTGGGCATTTTAATAGGGGTTGAGTTGAATCTGTAGGTTGGGGGAATATTGTCATCTTAACAACATCAACTTTTTTAATCCATGAACACAATATACATTTCTATTTTCATATTTAAATATAGTCATTTACAGCTATAAATTTCAATTTAAACATTTTAGTTGCATCCAATAAGTTGTGTTATGCTGTGTTTCATTTTCATTCATCTCTAACTACTTTTTAATTTCCACTGTGATCTTGTCTTTCACTCATTGATAATTTAGGAGTATGTTTTTTAAGCTTCCTCATATTTTTATTTATTTTTATTATTTTTATTTTTTGTGGCTAATTTTTGTGTGTTTATTTTTGTTTAAAATATTACAGATGTCCCTTTTTCTCCTCAGTGACCCATTCCACCCCTTCCCAACCCCCTCCCTAGTCCCTCTCCACAC